GAAAACCCAAAAACCGTTCATGTGGTCATGTAATATGCAAAATGGGCTGCACACGAAGATCGTCCTACAAGAAACAAAGTTATTCATTAGTGTTTCAACATGTCCCACATTAACAGTGTAGAAAACACTGTCAAGCAGAAAAACATCCATATGTTCTCATTTTTGTTCTCTTGTTTCAAGCAGTGAGGGTGTTCCCTCTTGTGTCAGGAAACCTAGAAATTGAAGTGATTGTCAATGTTACAATATTATAAAAAAACAATTGGATCATTCCAGTGCTCTAGCCTGGAACTGATGCCACACATTTCTCCCGCTGAGAAAGTAAAAACATCTGTAAATCTGTTATTTTGTACTTTTCATTTCAACACAAAACACAGTTCTAAAAGCAATTCACATCAAAATCCAAGAATCCTGAAAGCGTGAGCTGGAAATAGCACAGAACTGAAGCACTCCCAAAATGCAAATAAGGGGGGTCAATCAGTCCCCCCGCTGTGAAACAAAACTTGTAACCCAAATGGAGACACCTCTGTCCCACAGAAGCACATTTTAACAGAAAGTTAGTAATACAACATCCAGCAAAAATATTTAACAATATCTCATAACACAATCTCATTAACCATCCACCAACACAAATCACTTGCGCACAATCTCAGCACAATTCAGACACAGACAGACGAATAGACAGCAGCGCGTGGTGGGACATAGGCTACAGTATAACGGGGGAAGACAGACACACAGCCACAAACACAAAGAAACATACAAAACACAGAAACATAGACAACGTTGTAGTTCAGTCAAGAAAAGACAGAAAAGAAAAGAAAATGTCAGGTGCCGGCTAAAGGAATGTATGACGCATCTTTTAATTGTCCAATTTCAATTTTACAAATCCCTTTTATTCTCATTTCAACTTCTCAGTCCTACACTTCAGAGCTGGGTCAAGCTCGAGGCGAAAATAAGCCTCAATTTAGTTTATTCGATCACTCAATCCGCCCAGTGACAAAAGGTTTTTTCTTTTTCAGCTGGGGAGAGCGATTGAACCCGTATTAAATCAAATAATTTATTTTAGTCCTTTATACTATAAGCAACCCGATTAAGGGTGCCAAAGAAAGGTGATCCAACCTGCTATTAGTCCTTTATTTTCCACGAGTGATACAACTCGGTCCAATTAACCTGCTATTAGTCCTTTTCCATGAGTGATACAACTCGATCCAATTAACCCAAATAATTATAAGTCCACTGGAGATGAGTCGAAATCTCCGGGCTGATACAAGCCCCTGCTAATTAATACACAGACACCCGAAATTCTTTTTTAGAGGCCCAGGCATTGTTCCTCAGGGCTAAAGAATAAATTAATCTTTATTAATTAATCAATTAATCAATTAATCAATCAATAAAACCTTCTTTTAAAAAACCCAGCTTAAGTCAGAGTTAACGTAAAGGCTCTGTTTGAACTAGCCACAGTTCCCTGTAATGTGTATTTATTCAAATCCTTAAACAACCGACTCTGTTAGGAGGGATTTTATCTACCTCTGCAGCTTCTGAATTCTGTGAGGCCGCACACAGCAAATCAGCCCAGGTCCGACCACACGGCGCTTCAGACAACTGAAAAATAATCAGATACTGTCTTACCACACCGAAGCGTCGGGCCGAAACGGATCAATCAGGACCAAACAGCCGTCCGCCGAGACTCCAGAACCGGCACGAGCCCCCAATTGTAAAGGAAGAAAATATTCTAACATAGTTAACTTTGGAAAAAGGTTGGCTTTTCATTTTCTTCCCTTCCCCAGGTCCACTCGGCGAGCTGCGTGTGGTCACTATGAAAATCAGCAAGGCGTGTTGACATCACAGAATTACAGAGTTTAATCCAATATAAGACAATGCATACACTTAGAAATAAGACAATGCACAAACCTACACCAGAAACTGCAGAACAACAGAGACATACATTCCATTACCTGACATGAATGGAGAGAAGGAAATAAAGCAAAGACGTACAAGACATCTTTGGAGAGTTTGCAAGAGCAAAATCTGATCTGTAACTTCTATATAGAAAGCTTTATCCTCTTGTAACTAATCCATTCAAAAAGGGGCTGGCCCTCGGTCCTCCAACCAGACGGCATCTCTGACACTGCCTAGAGCTTCCCCAAATTTACTGCAAACATCTGGGGTCATTTGCTTCTTTGTTTTAACAAGAAAAGGCGGAAAGCTTGTCCTGTCATCTAGAACTCTCAGGGTCATAAAACACAAGATAAGCTCTCACAGACTCGGTGTGGAATGCGGGGGGCCTCACTTTTGACCTTCTGTAAACCAAGCAGAAATCTCTCCTGCAGGCTTAACTGTTATTCACCCCCCAGGAGATACTCATTCTATGGGCTGGTGGTCTAAATACTTATCCATTAGTAGTTTCAAATCATTAACACAGCCTTGTTCAAAATTAAGAAATATGTTCAAGTGAGAGTGTTTACACATGCCATAAGATTAACTGTATTAAAGTCTAAAAAATAATCATTTTTCTTTAACAAAACCTATTAAACATTAACATTTTTCATATATTAACAACTACTTGACAACACAAACACTGTGGTTAATTATGCACATCAATATACAGACATTAAAGATGATAGATACAGAATTCATGCTCTTTTCAGAACTAAATTTTGAATTATTTGGGGTAAAGATAAAATTATGTGCCTCTGCAAGTCATCTAAGAGTCTTCAGTGAAATCATAGATAAATAGCTATTTTAATAATAACATAAAAATTAATTAAATGTGGATATTAGTAGCCTAAATTTAAATATAATTTTTTTTTTTTGCAGAATGATTATTGATTAAAGTAGGTAATGACAATTGAAATATTTTCGCCCCAGATCTCAAACCTAAAATAATTTTGTGCGATATACTTTTATTTTACACAGCATAGATGTTTCAATATATGTGTCTGTTTGTTAGCAAAGGCTGCAGGAAAGCATATTTTGTCTTTATTTAGAAAATATGGATGTTGTGCATGTTCCTGTTGGAACAGTATAGATTGACCCTGAGGTTCTGGTGTGTTTCTGCCACCCCTCAATATTCATAGGTTATTGACTGGAAACCCTTATTAGGATTTTCTGGCTACGTCTCTGACTGTTGTAGAGGAGGGGTACATCTAAAGTTGTAATTCAGAGTGAAATCTGCTTCCATCAATATAGTTTGAATCTGTTTTACATGAGGACAGACATTAGGAATAATGCAGATCAAAATATGGATTCCTATCAGAACGCTATTTTGACTCCTACAAACCATCAAAGGAATAAACATACATTTACTATGACATATGGAAATCACAACTCATGACATAGACCTTTTTCCTTTCAGTGTTCAGCAGAACTCGTTAAAGGAACACAAGTTACATGTTGGGGTCCCTGTGCCTCAAATGCCAAGTTTCGTCCCTAGAATTTGAGAAAAATGAAACAAATAATTTATGTCTGTCGCTTAGACTTTGCATTTTTTTCAGATTGGAAATGGTTTTACACAATGACAATGCTAAGCAACAGACATAAATGATTCATGGCAGAATATATGTATAATTATACCCCAAACCAACACTGCACCTAACACCACATTTTCCAACATTAAATTCAGTAGAAGATTTCACACTAGGGGGGCAAATGTTAGGCTTCTAAACAATCATAAAAGAAAGACATGAACCCTAGTGTCAAATACACTTTTTAGGTATCTATACTTTACTCCATAACTAATTTTTCTTTCTACTTCTGACTTCTACTCATTACATTTTCACACAAGTATCTGTATTTTCCTTATATTTTTAAAACAAACGTTACTCGTTACTCCTGGCTTCGGTTTAATGTTAATAAATATTTATTTAACGTCATGTGCGCCATCCAATGCAGATCATTGGCTTCATCGACATCTAGTGAAAACTAGTGCAATTGGTTGAGTCATATAATGCAAACACTCATTGGTTAGCTAAAGGAAATCATCAGAAGCAAGCAAGTGTTCTTCAAACTACAAACACGAATTATCTATGCCATGCTACAATGTCAAATTCAGAAAAAGATGATTCAGAAAAATATCTAAAAGGACGGACACAAACGAGATGGAGACCAACAAAACCTCCTTCATCCTTGGCCCTATCTCAAACAATTTTTTTGAAATAGTTGAAAATTTGATTCAATTCATATGGTGGCATCTGGCTGTTTTTTTTAAAGGTTTCTTTATACTTTTAGACTTCAAGTAGTTTTTGGAGCACATACTTTTTCACTTTTTCTTGAGTAAAGAGGTCAAGTTGATACTCCAACTTCTACCAGAGTGTTTTTAAACTGCAGTATCCATACTTCTACTTAAGTAACCAATGTGTGTACTTTTGACACCACAGGTGTCTTCATTGTGACAGAACCATTCAATTCACCATCAAGGTACACTTACATTAACACGTGCGCACGTTTTTACCGCGAAAAACTTAAACAAGTGATTTTTCCATGACGCAATTTTTCTTTTCATTTAGGGCTCACAGGAAAAAAAGAACTTCAGGAGTCCCCCTCTCCCACTTTTACAAGAGGGGAACAAAGATTTACGTGACCGGAGTGTAGATAGATTCAGGACTACATGAACCTCCAACAAGAAGCTGAAGGAGCGCTTGCTGTTTGCCACAAGTTGCACGATTTGGATGCATTTAGGAAAAGTCCGCAATTACGCATCGACACTCCTGGGTTTACGTTTAAGTACTGATTATAAATTTGAGCCCAGTTAGAACAAATTGATACAATAGATAAATAAAATAGCAGCAAATAAAGTTATTTGGACAGATTTTACGCACAAGCACACTGTCATTAAAATGAGCTGTAAATATTTCCTTCATGTTTTATTCGTCTCCTTGTCCAGCTTTTAGACAATGGCGGTTGGGGTGCGTGTACAGAATGCATTGCTGTGATTCAGAGCCACTGCCAAATCCACTCTGGGACCCAAAAAAAGCTGTCTGTATCCCACCCCCGGGTTTCCTCTGTGCAGCCTTCATTCACTATGATGCGCGCCTAGTTGAAGGACCCTCTCCGCACCGGTCCCCCCTCTGCATGCCCAAAACTTTCTAATGAAATCCCCGCACATTTTTTGACGAATATTGTTACTCTTTAGCGATCAAGGAGGCTTCCCGATTAATTTATCAACAATTTTTATTGAGAAGAAAACTTCAGGTAAGTTCTTTCCTTTTTAAATAAATTACACTTGTGAATACATGTATATATTTTGATAAAGATATTGTTGTTGTTTTTTTAGAAATGTGTTGTTTTTGTGAAAAAAACTAAATAAATGAACCCCTAATGAATCAATAAATGCTGTTTCTGTGTGTATAGAATATGGAGCCCAGTGCCACAGAAGGGGGAACTGAGAAGCTTGTTAAAACTCCTGTAAGTACTGAGGTTAAATGAATGCATGGTTTCCGATTTAAATATGACCCTCAGAAAAGTTATAAATCAATCGACGAATCAATGACGACCCTTTTGCATGACACTCTGAGGTGTCCTATGGTTTTTCTCTGGGATCTGTGTGCCATGGCCTGTAGACGCTGAGAGTCAGTGAGTAACATCTGGATGTAACATTGACCTTCCAGTTTTGCTGTCTGCAGCTGCTGCTCCAAGCAGGAGGGTCTGGCTCAGCAGAGGTCAGCTCTCCCAACGAGTGCCACAAGGTCACCAGAGAGTTTATAATTTGCAGAAACGGGGGACAGGACCATCAGTTTGATGTCCATTAACATGCGGAGCGCTGTCTTGCAGTTGAAATTATTGGTTATAATCGGATCAGGAGGCATGCCAGTTTTTCCTTGCTGCAAAAGAAAATAGGTCGACTGCAGAACCCAGCAGTTTGGAACATGTGTGGTGAGGGCTTTTTCTCTTCTTTCCACCAGCCGCCCAAGGTTATACTCAAACATGGCGTGGAGCTGGAGGAAGAACAGGAGGAGCTGGCTGAGCATCAGCCCCTGGAGCAGGAGGACCTGAACTTCGAAAGGTGGAAGCGCAGGCCAGTTCCCAAGAGGACACTCCACCAGAAGATAGCCGACCTTAAGAAGTACCTGTGGAATGCAGAGACCAACGAATTCATGGGTCGCTCTGGCAAGAGCTGGAGTGAGTTTCTGAGCAATAAGAGGCTCTGTGTTCTGTTGCAAAAGTTATTAGTTTTATGAACCTAGATTATTAACCGTCTTCTAGATGGTTTTTCCAAGATACATCATTCAAAGATAATTTGAGAGTGGGAAATGTTCCTCTAGTCCAGTGTGTGTGTGTGTGTGTGTGTGTGTCTTCATGCTTGATGTTTACATAGGTGCATGGACAATTCAGAGAGTCACGACAAAAACAGACTGCCTGGGGACACGTCCCCAGCGGGAGGACACTGTTCTTGGCCTTGCATTGGCCAGGAATCACATTCCTCTAAATCTTACCATGCTCTCCACAGTTTTGTTCCCAAAGCCTTGGCGACCTTGCTGCTGAACCGAACATGCACAAGGCCCCTCTGCTGCAGAGGAACATGTAGACGTGCTGTGTTTCTTTAGACATTCACTGATCTAGCTTTTCTTTGGCTAGTGCTGACTTCCGGTCTTCCGATCATGACTTTGATCTTTGCTTTTTTAACTGAATAAGTAGAATATCAGCACGTCTGCATCAGTAAATGTTTTTTAATTTAAATGGTATATGTAAAGATTTTCTCTATTTTGACCTCATAAACATAGATCAGAGTCGACCAAGGGAAAAAGGACTGACTCCAAGAAAAAAGGAAAATTATTTTATTTTTTAAAGTTTTTTGGTTATATAAAGTAGTCTTTTTTATTTCCCACTGCAAAAGAGGGAATTGGAAGGTCAACATTTATGCATCAAGCATAACTTTTACAGATTCTTCTTTTAATTACATTAGAAAAAAGCAAAAATCATTCATACAGTTGGATGATCCGTGTACCGACTGAAAAGTATTGGGAGCTCTCAATTTGGATGCAGTTATTAATTAAGATAAAAAAAAAAACCTAATTTTTCCTAATTGATTATGAGAGCTAATCAAAGAAAAGTCGTTAGAGTCCTATTTTCAATTATATATATATTTTTTGGACTATGATAGAAAAAAATAGAAATAGAAAAATCCCTTTATTATGCCACAATGGGGACATTTTGGATATGTCATGATACATTAAAATGTAAGAATTTCCCGCAGGTTACTTGTTAATTAGTAGTTTCAAATCCAGCAGGAAATAAAGGAATTCAAGTATGTTCAAAAGTTTTATCTAAACTTTTTTTATATATAAAAATCCCACAGAATTGCATTATGATAAATACTTGTGGTTTAATGTTTTAGTGTTTTTTTTAAACATCCTTTTTTTTATCTCTGGCCAAATGATTGCTACATCTTTTTTTTCATCCATAAAGATCATTGAAAAAAACTAAGAGCTTGATGCAGACTGAATAAGCAGCTTCTTGCTGCCATGCGATGCAGGAGTGTCCCTTTCCTTAGCACAGCTGGAGACAAAAACATGTCAAGAAAATCTGTGTTTAACAGAAAAACTGAACTGCTGCACCTTCAGGGAGGGATAAGAGCTTAATGAAACTATATAACCAGTGTGTGCACATTTGTTGAGAAGTGGGGCCCATGTGTCTGCAGAAGAAAAGGCCCTGAGTTCAAGTCTTCTCTGCGTGTCCTGTGAGGCAAGTGTGCGAGAGGGGATACAATACCAGAGTGGGGTGATTGGGGCTCCTTGGAGCTGGCTGGGCCTCTATGGCTGCATAAAAAAAAAAAAAAAACCTTCACTACGATGGCAACCGGAGGTTCACTGTGTTCCTGAGTGAAAGAACAAGCTGAGAGAATTCTCACTGAGCTCAAACAGAAAGGCCTTTGTGGTTGTTGGGACGCGAGGCTGGCCGCCACTGGTCCCCTGTAAAATTGCATGAACAGCAAAAGCTATTAAGATTTAGGACACATCTAGTCAAATTCGTTCTAAAAATGATTCCTGAATCAAAATGACAGAGAAATGAAAGTCCTCACAATTTATTTGTAATGGACTCTTTATATTTGAGTGATTATTTAAAGGGGGGGGGGGGGGGGGGGGTTCCCCCTTGCATGTCTTTATAAACAAATTAGAGACAGTACTAATCATTGACAGGAACTAGGCTCCAGACAACACAAACAAAAAGAAAAAAAAGAAAAAAGGTTAATTATTTTCTTGGTTCAGATCAAACATAATCTCTTGTGTAATCATTTCCCCCCCCTCTGTCCAGGCCTCATCCTGCTGTTCTACGCTGCACTTTACACATTTCTGGCAGCCATGTTTGGCGGCTGTTTGTTTTGCCTCATGTGGTCCATCAGTCCCTACCATCCTACCTTCAATGACAGAGTGATGCCACCAGGTAAATAAGCCCCCAGCCTCAGAGGCCACCTTCCTCCCTGCTCTCCCATGTCTCTGCTCGTTCATTCTGCTCTGCACAGTTGACTGTCTCTGGGTCTCTACTGGCAGGTCTAACAATGGCCCCACACCTAGAGGGCCACGACATCGCTTTTAACGCATCTGACCGCAAATCCTGGAAGAAGTATGCCCGGTCTATGGAGGAATACCTAAGACGTGAGTCAGTCTGAACTTGATGACGTTAAACGTTGAGGCCGTTGAGTTTGTTAAAATGAAAGAGACTTCAGAGGGTCTTAATCCTCATCTTCTTCTACCTTTGTCTAATTTTTTTCTTTACATTCGTTTCCTGTAGAGCATGCTGGGAAGTGAATCCTCTTTGTGGGCAGAGGGTAGCCATTCAGTACAGTTTTTTTTTTCTTTTTTCAAAACCAGCTTTTGTCAGGCTTCTTTTGCCAGAGGCCTGAGCCTGGCAGGGTTTTGCAATTGCAAAGGTTTATTTATGCCTCTCTCCCTCCCCTTGAATCCCTCTCTCATTTTCCCCTTTGGGTTTTTTCCCCCCTCTACTCTCCACTTCCAGCTTATAATGATGGTGCTCAGGATAAGAAGAATATCCATTGCACGCGTGAGTCATACTTCTTGCAGGATGATCTGGAGGAGAGCGCAGAGCGGAAAGCGTGTCAGTTCAAGCGGTCCTGGTTGGGGGAGTGTTCGGGGCTGAAGGACCCCCACTATGGCTACTCTCAGGGAAGGCCATGCGTCCTGCTTCGGATGAACCGGGTAAGGACAGTCAGTCACTGCTGGCCGGGGAGCTTAATACTAAAGATCACTGGCTAAAAGTGTGAGATTGATTGTAATTGCTGATTAGTGATACCAAGTGGCCAAATGAGGTACAGCATGAAAATGCTGGAGAAATTTTGTCTTGTTAACTATTGCTAATATGATTATATTCATGAACTTGATTATTTCCATGTCAAACACAAATGTTTTAGAGACATTTATATGGTCTAAAATTGCTTTCTTATCCAAATCATTGAACTAAAATATCCCAATAAATCCCATGGCCCTGTTCTGGTCCAAAATCGTTGCACACCAGCTCATCTATTTCATCTATGTCTTTGTGTACTTTCAGAAACTTGGGGTTTAAAGAACTTGTTTAGCTTATCTGACCTTAACCCGATTAAACAGCTTTGGGTGGAATTAGAGGGGAGACTGTAACCCTTGTCTTCTTGTCTAGCATCAGTGTCTGACCTCACAGTCAGTCCTGTTAACACGTTTATAACACTTTGCAAAACCTTCCGACTAGAGTTGAACCCGATAGCTCCTCACAATAAACCATTTGGATTCAGGATGTCTCTTTTCTTATTCTGTGGGTAAAAAGCAACAATGTGTGTCACTTTTAACAGCTGTTTCCTGTTTGTTGTTAATTTTAGTTTTTGAATATTACAACAGTTTTGTTTAGATGTAAAAAAAAAAATGTAATGGGATTCATTCTGAAGCTAGATTTCTACATGTTCCACGAGGGTTATGTATAAAAAGATGATTTTAGACAAAAAACATTACAAACTTTAAGTGGAAGAAAAAAAACAACAAAAAGTATTGAAAATCTCTGCTTTTTGTTCTAAATTGTATTTTAAATGTTTCATAGATTCTTGGGTACCTACCTGGCCAGGGTAAACCAATAAACGTCACTTGTGGGGTTAAGGTATGAAAAACATTGAATAATTGAATTATATCTGATGAAATACTGTGTTTTACAAAAGTTTTATACCCATTGAACGCTTTCACATTCTGCCTTGCTGCAAACGATATACATGTAATACTAGAACATAGTGAAGAACAATGGAGTGGGAAAATATTTATTCTAACAGATAAACATTTAAAAAGTGTGACATTTTCTTCCATCTGCCTCAACATTGCATTCCTGAAAATAAGATCTGGTGCCTTTAAGTGCCTTTTAAAAATCCAACTGAGGGTGATTTCAACTCAGTTCCTTCCAGTGGTGTTGTGAAAGCCTTAGAGGTTTAATGAAAAACATGAATAAACAAAGCCAAGGAATACATCAGACAGGTCAGGAAGAAATTGAGAGAGCAAAAATTAGATTATAACACTATAATCTAAGCTTTAAATATCTGATGGAGCTTTGTTCAATCTGTAAACTGGGATTAGAAAAGAGAAAGAGAGTGGCTCATCTGCACACCGAGCAAAATTCAATAAAAATGGAGGCTTAGGCTATGAGTGGTTTGCTTATTGAAGCAGCATAGAGGCTCATAGTAAAAAGAACAGTAATCCTTCAGAGATCCACACCTCAGCTAGAAAAATTTATGACAGCATAACCCTCAGGTTTTGTTTAAAAAAAAATCAAATTGGTTGCAACTACTGCAAAATACTAACACCACATTTTACTTTAATCATACCACCCCTATGGTCAGACATGATGTTGGCAGCATCATGCTATGGGGATATTTTAGCAGAAGAAAGGGAAGCTGGTCAGAAATGAAGGAAAGATAGTTAGATGTCAAACTTAAACTGAGGTGAGATTTGCATCTTAACCAGTTTCTTCTTAAGATCATTTTATGAAGATAAACAAGAAAAAATAATTCATACTTTAAAATACTTGGAGGAGTAATGCAATGACGGCTGATTCCTTAAGGTATTGAATCTGTTGGCAATCTCTACATCACAATTAAAATAAATAAATGTTAAAATCCTGTAAAGTTGACTTCCACACCACTTTCTGTTGCTCTATAATAAAAGTTCTTAATCAAAATTTTCTGGTTGTGATGAGGCAAAATGTGAAAATGTTCCCGGGTTCTTAAAATGTCTGCAAAGAACTGATGAGGATAATAACTACTTTTCTCTCCTAGAAAGGACCTCCAGAAGCTTTAGGAGAAATTCAGTTTTTCCCTAAAAGCATATTTGACATGAAGTACTACCCTTACTACGGGAAGCTCAGACATGTGAGTGTGGATTTAGGAATCAGGGCGAGGCAGCCGTTTTGCGGGACCATCTGAGTCGTTTGTGTCTGTTTTATCTCAGGTGAACTACTCTGCGCCTGTGGTAGCTGTACGTTTCGCCGGAGTGCAGCAGGACGCTCACATCCACGTTCAATGCAAATTGAACGGAAAGGGAATCATTAACGATTCACCCACTGACCGCTACCTGGGCAGCGTGACCTTTACCCTGGAGGTCGGAGCGTAAGGCAAAGACATTGCTGCTGTGATGGAGGCAGGAGAACATGTACAAGAGAAGAAATATTTGAAGCCTTTATTTTTTTTTTCTTGAATTATTTCCCTCCCCTCTCCTTGCTCTTAAATACCCACATCTTCTGCTGTGAGACAAATAAGGAACTAGATTTATAAATTTTTATTTGCATCTGTTGTTTCTTGAACCTTAAGCAGGGAGTCGGCACCCACAGCGACAGTGCTGAGCACCGAACAGCTGCATAGTGGGAATTACAATTCAGTTCCTCATAATTTATGATGATTAGCTCAATTAATCCAAACTAAATTCAACCCTGCCCAATTAGTTAACTTCTCTGGCTATGCAAATCCATTTCTGACTTAAAGCAGCCATCTATAGGAATTTAGAAAAGTCAGCATGTTTAGATGTTTTACATGTTTTTTTTCTTGCACAGTATTCTAATGGTGATAAGGTACTAATTTGTTTTGAATTACACTGTTCAATTAAGTTGTAAGAATTCAAAGAACTATCATGCAAAGTGCTGAAAAGACTTGTGTTGTACTTATACAGAAAAAAAATGACATAATAAATGCAAATACGTGATTACTTTATTTTTTTTGTTGTTGAATAGGGCAGTATTTTAAATTTACTATGTGTATGTTTCTTTTATTTTGAAAACGTAAAACAGCATACCAGACGGATCAGCGAAGCATTGATTATGATGTGTAATAAATCTTCAAAGGTCTGTTTTATTTTCAAAACAAGTGTTATAAATCCAATCTGAATTGTCCAACAAAACAAAAATATTGTATTTATTATCACAAGAAAACCGTGGATAAGTAATTTCCAAACATTTAATGTCATTCTCAATCAAATTCGATGTCAAAGGTTCTTTTTAAAAAGAAAAAAAACAAAACAGTTTATATTAGTTTGGATGTTGAAAGTTGAAATCGTCATTTTTTTAAATCCCTACTCGTTTGTTTAGATTTCTTTCTTCCAAGCAGATGAATTTCTTCTTATCTTTTATCGAGTTCTTCATCAAATATTTACATCTTAAAAAGTTTATTCTTTAATGTATTGTTAGGACTTTTTACTAATTTTCTTTTTTTTCTGTAAGTAATGCCAGCCTATTGTCATGTGAGCTTAAAATGAATAAAAGTGGAGAAAAAAAGAAATCTTTCTACAGTGGATAGAAGTGATGTATTTATAAGATCTGAGGTGGATAATCCTTTAGGGAATCCTCTCCAGTGCTACAAGATTCAGATTTTATTTGGGAATTCAAAATTCAATTTTCTGAATTAAATTATGAGTTAATAATATTAGATGATAAAAAATGGAAATATATAGCAATAATTTGGCCAGAAAAAAAAAACATAGTTAAAGTTGTTAAGGAAAGCTCAGCTTTTTCTCTCTGGTTCTTTTCTTTTACATTGAAGCTGTTAAGAAACCAAGTAGATCGAAAACTAACATTTTAAATATTGATTCATTGATAATCTAAAGAACATTTTAAAACAATTTTTAATCAGAAACCTGCAGCTCACCACAGCAAATTAAGTTTAGATTTTTCTAAAATTATAACTAAGTTTTTAGTTTACTCATATCAGCTCCCCTTTGAAAGTGATAAAGAGTATAATTTCTAAGAATAACCAGCTTGGTGCTGATTCCCCCCTAATTCCCTTGTCAGGCTTCGGACCTTTGAATGTCAGTGTAGGAAAGAATGTAATTCCCATGTGTAACTTTTCGCGTCCTACGTGTCTGAAACCATGTGAATAAACGAATCTATATGTGGGAATCTGGTCAGGACCCATCCTGCGACTGGTCTTGGAAGAAAAAGTGTCTCTTGGAGCATTGATCGTCTCCATGCAAACAGTTAAATGTTAGGAGAAGTCGGTCAGGTTACCCTCGGTTACCACAGCAGCTTTGAACCATAAGAGTCTTGGGGCCGGATCTATCAAAGGTTTGCGTGTATTAAAACGTGAGCTATTTCACTGCGCACGCTAAAAAATGTACAAACTGATCTATCAACAGCGTGCTAAAAGGATTTGGTCTTTAAAACGTGCTAAATAGCGCCTCTTATCCATTTAGTACTTTTTCTGCAATGAATATGCAATATGGGGCGTTTACACGCAAAAGTGCGTCTTGTGGGAGGAGAACATGTAAATATATTAATTTAGCACTCGCAAAGTGATTTATTAAACCTGAAAGCTATTTTGCTAACGGTATCTGACTCTATATTTAACACGTTTCAAAAGAAGGTGCAAATGGTCTGTATGCGTAATTGCGCACACATGGCAGCGGTTATTGTCGCAAGAAGGAGACATTGAAATGAAGCAAGGAGACGCAGAGAACGCATTTTTTCACTCCGTGTCAATATTTTTGCAATGAAGGAGGAAACGATCATCAAAACATATCGTTTATCCAGCATTGCCATTTTGTTGGGGGAACTCCGAATGGATTTGGAGCCAGCCACAAGGAGGACCCATGCAATACCAGATATCACAAAACTCCTTCCAACATTGCACTTTTTTGCATCTGGGTCATTCCAGCGTACGGCTGGAGCGAGAGCTGGGATCTCCCAATCTCGTTTTTCAGAAGTGCTGTCCGAAGTGCTATCCGACGGGGTCGGGGTTCTCCCCCTGCGCCTGTGGAGCAACATGCCAATGCTGCGGGGATGCGTAATCTCATCCACAGTCACTTCTTGTGAGCCATTTGGTATGTGCTTTTTTCTACAGGCCAATACAAAACACCTGTTTTTTTTTTTGTTGTTGTTGTTTTTTTTTTTTTTTACTGCAGTGAAGTAGAAATTCAGCCACATACCACCTTAGGGAATAAAGGTTGCCAAAGTTTTTTCTTTATATATCACTGTAAGATTTAAATTTCTTAATGCACTAGTTTTTAGAAACTACAAACTACTTTGCCGCAAACCACAAAACGCGCAAAACCATCATTTAAATAGGGCGTCTCCAACAGTTTTGCACCTGCCACCAGTTACGCAATCGCTCTTGTTAAATCACCCGCAAACCATGGTCCAGCCCCTCGCGCAAAATTCCAGTTTGCGAGCGCAAATTACTGCACGCAAAATTGGATCTTGATAAATCCGGCCCTTGGGGCCCCGGTGTCCCTACACCCCTGAAGGATAAGTATTTACCTGTCATCAGCATCATAACACAGATGCAGAATGAAGCAGAGCTTTTGAAGAAGGGGATCCGGCCCTCAAGTAGAACGTCATATATAAATGTTTATGCATTTCCAAATCACAGCAGTTTACATTTCCTGAACCTGTTGAATATAACTCCATCTCCTCTATGCAAAGTGTCCAGTCATAGTCTATTGAAAATGTTCTCCATAAAAGGTCCATTGTGAAATATGTGGAACATCCACAGACCCAGTCAATAGCCTATTGTACATCTGGATCACTAACCAGATCCATAAACGTGTAGGAAACATATGTTCCTATATATGTTTCATCTAATAAGCTATCTTACTAAGCCTGCGGTTCTATCAAATGTTTAGTACGCTTGATTGTATTGATTGCAGCTGAAGGTAAAGTAAATTCAGGTGTTCTCATTACTTTATGCATCTTCTGTGCGGTTACCCATACCAAAGATTAAAATATAGTTTCTGTAATGCTTATTTCAAATCATCTCACGGTTAAAATTGTGTAGTTTTAGATCCTGGGCCCTGACATTAATGTGTAATAAGGACAATTATCTCATTATCATTTAAGATACAGATATGTAAAAAGGTGAGCTGGTTTGATATGTAACACACAAGGCTTTATAAAACAGCTTCTTTAGTTTTAAAATACATAATCTTTTCCTATTTACTACCTAAATATGATTCTACAATTTAAAAGCAGAGTTTGGAGTGAAAATTTTAAAAAGGAAGTTAACTAAAAGAAGAAAAATAGTGATATATTTATGCTAAATGTGCAGGAATGTAAAGGCTTAAAATGCTGTAACAAAGCAGTAGCTGTCTAACAGGTTTCCAAACCATTCCTGGCCTACGTGGAAAAGTAATTGCTCCGTAAACCTTAAAAACTGCTTTACTAACCTCGTGTGTTTGTGATAACTGGCAGAGAGTCATTTGCATCACTGTGAATTTAGTCCACTTTCTGCAGGAAAGGTTCAATATATTTGAACCTTTAACCATCTCTCTATTTTTATATCAGACCATCTTGGATTTAATTTCCTTTATTTAACCAGATGAAAATCTAATTGAGATGGAGATGACATTGACAAGGAGGACATAGGCGGAAACTGAGGAGCACACATCAGTTATACCAGTCAAACACATAATATAAGACAATATAATCTATATATAACTCAAATAAGTGATACAAAAAAAAAAACTAAGAATGCTTGTTTCTAAGAATTGCAATCATTTCTACGAAATATAAACTATTTAAAGTTCAGACTAGATTTAAGTCTGGACTTTAGGCCACTTGAAACCTTTAGGATTTTCTCTCCTTGAGAGCAGACTACATGGCTGCATCGCCAGGCTGTCATGTTCTCACTAACATCTTTAAACATCCTTATGATTAACTTATCCCTCTGTTTTATAACTGATTTATAAATCTTCTTTCCAGAAAGGTCCACTCTTTTCCCGTCCTTCAGCAGATTCTGCCTCAGGATTGCTCACCTAATGTCTTTGACAATTTAAGACATGTAGGTCTTTCATATTCTTTATGGCTGCTATCCTGGTACAATATTGTTCTTAACTTAATTAAGATAATTTAAATGCTTGGCAAAACTGGTTTGATACCAATCCAGGAGTTTTTCCTCAATTGTATCGATTCTCCTTTACTGTGCAAGCAGCTCTGGGCAACGCTACACCTGCCCCTCACCCTTTTTTGGGGGCTTTTTTCACCTGTTAAATTCAGCTTTTAACATTTTTCATTTTAAAACATACCATTTTTTTAATTCAGCACCTTGTTACTACTTTTACTGAGCCAATAAAGGGAGTGTGGGGGAACAGATGTATAAATATGTGGGTAGATTTATTGGGCAACATAAAAATGAAAGTCTGTCTTTAATCACCTGGTAAGAGAGAGGCCCAGGATTTTTTCTCTCCAACCCTGCATGCCTGGGCACAATAGTGCCCCCCTCAATTTCTTTACACTAGATCATGATGAGCTGCTTTATGAAAACAGCCTACTTAACGCTGTCAGACAGATTCCAATAAAGGTGATTCCACAGGATGACAGTGATCAGGTATAGGCATTTGTTAACTAGAGTGGGGCTGTAAAACTCATTTTAGGATCATCCCATTTCCAAAAGTGGTGATTACAGCTGTGTAGATAAAACTTTAAATAATTTCGTTTACAAATAGCTCACTGTTCTGGTATAACTTTACTCTGCTTCATTTAGCAATTTCAGCCACTTTAAATGCATATGCCACTATTTTATGATCTTATGCCATATTTGGTGACCAGAACCGGCCTGCCTGCCTTGAGTTTGACACAATGACCTAGATGGACAAATAGTACCACGCCAAATAAATGATAAAGGTCCTGAATGTTATTTTTTGTTGTTTTTATTCAGGCTTTCCTTCAAGGAAAAAAAAAAAAAGTTTGCTGAAACGTTTAGCTGTGATTAAAAAAAAGAACCAGAAAAACTCTGTAAATATGCTTTTTTTTTTTTTTTTTGGGCTCATGTTGGCTCCATACTTTAATGGATAAAAATATTTAAGATGATATCCAAATTTACAAATATTCATACTAAACCACAGACCTAATCTGTTCTC